GCCTGCTGACTTCTGAGGGTTGATTGCCTGTCTCAGCTGATGCACCTGAATGAGGCCTCTGACTTGTGCTTTACTTCTGTGTGACTAGAAACGCTTCCACTCAGGGCTTCAGTGTGAGGGGAAGCTGCCTTGTTTGAAGCAGCGGGGGCCCAGCTGATCTGAGTCTTTGTTTCACCTGAGTTTGGCTACCAGAAGCACCACTGTGAGTGTGCTGGGTAAACAGGTCCTGGAAACCCAGGCTGGGCAAAAATCTCATCCAGTGCACAGGAATGTGAAATGGAGGATTTGGGGAACTGCAACAAACCCTTTCTGTAATGGTACCTGAAGGGCCGTGGGGGGCACTGTACTTTCTCCTCCTCCTCCCCTCTCTCTGTACTTTCTCCTCCTCCCTCCCCTCTCTCTATCTCTCCATGTATGAAATTGGATGGGTGGATCGAATTTTCTTAACCCTTCTACATCAGCTCAGTCATCTAGCTGGGGGTGGCAATTTTCATATTCATTGCACAAGGTTTGACCCTCAGAGGTAAAGTCACTCTACCCAAGGCCTATGCAACAGAAGAACTCAAGACCATAACTCTGGAGTGTTTCTCTCCAATGAGCGTGACCCTGTACTAACCACCACGGGAGAGTTCACTGTCTTAGAAGACAAGGGAAGTCTCAGAGCCAGGACCCATGCCTTCATAGATTAGTGGTCACTCCAGTTTCTAGCCACTGAGTTTCATGAGAAGGTCCCATTTGCAAGTAGCACTGTGGATTGGACACCATGGGACATCTTGATTACCTATTTTGAAGCAAGTGGTTCCACCGTTTTAGCATGCCTGGGGACAACACCTGCTCCACCTCCTCCATCTTGTCCTCTTGAGGAAGGATGAAAAACGCCATTGCATCACCTTTGTAATCCATCCGCAGAACCGTGCAGGGCACATGCCTGTCATCAAGAAACCAGTGTTTCTGATCATCTTGCAGCATCATGGGTACCTTCACGACCGTGTTCTTATCTACGTAGAAGTTACCGTTGAAGACTTTTGAGGAAGGAAAGGGTTTCTTCCACAGACCTGAGGGTATAAGGGAGACAGAGGAGCCAAACCTTCGGTCAGGGAGTGCCATCTGTTTCCCAGAGCCATGGTATAGCCACTGAAGACCCTTCCTCATTGTTACTGTGTCCCATCCAAGCCATCTAGGAGGAATGGTTGATCTCGATCGGCAGCTTGATTCAATTGAGAATAATCTAGGAGAGTGGTTCTCAAACTGTGGGTCACGACCCCCTTGGCAAACCTCTATGTTCAAAAATATTCACATTTTGATTCATAATAGTAGCAAAATTACAGCTATGACATAGCAACAGAAATGATTTTATGGTTGGGATAACCACACGAGGACCCATATTAAAGGGTTGCGGCATTAGGAAGAGTGAAAAGCACTGGACTAGACAGATGGCACAGCAATTAAGAGCTCTTGTTGCTTTTCCAGAGAACTGGGGTTCGATTCCCAACACCTACCTGGTGGTTCACAACCAAATGTAACTCCAACTCCAGGTGATCTGATGCCTCTGGCTCTGGCCATCACCTGTATTCACATGCATATACCCCATACAGACATACAACTACACAAGCAAACAACACAACAGCAAACCCAATAAAATAAATCTTCAAAAGGAAGTTGTTTTTGAGTGGTCAGTGGTGTGTAAACTCACCACATGTGGCACACAGGTGTGGTGACTAATTTGCCTGGGAATGTTTTCATTTTGCTCCCAGTGGATCCTGAATCAGAACCAGTTACAAGCTGAGATTTGGAGCCGTGGAGATCACATATGACATAGAGGCTCCACCATCAAGTCCTCATGACTTGAGTGTGACCTTCAGGACACACCGGATGAAAGGAGAAAAGCAACTCCCAAGAGTTGCCCTCTGACCTCCACATGTGTGCTGTGGCATGCACTCATAAAAAGCTGAGTTTGAAAAGTGGACTAGCTGTGTTGAGCTCCGGAGGTCCTCACAAGAAGATGGGACCTCGGAAACAGCTAGAGGTACCTGGATACTGCAGCCCACCCTAGCCTACCTCCCAGCAGGAGTGTATGCTCGGCAGTGAGCTGGCACCTTGTTGAGCTCACCTCGGAAGAAGATATAATTTATCAGAACCATCCTCATGTCAGGGGTCAGGCCGCTAACCAAATCCCTGATCTTGCCACGGGTTTTCTCCTTGACATAGTTGTTGATGAGCTGGGTGGTAGCCTCCATGTCTCTGAAGTTACTGCGTAAGACTTTGCCATTATAGGAGGCTTCAGCAGTGCTGACAAACTTAGGGAGGAGATGCAGGTCCTGGTTCAGGATCAGGGCATTGCCTACAGAGATGTCCAGCTCAGTGGATGGACGACTTATCACTTGAAGCAAGGACCTGATGCCGTCCTGGATTTCAGGCAATGACAGCTTCGTGAGATTGAAGGCCAGGCCTTCAAGGATCTGAGTCTGGGTGTCCCCACCAGCTCCCGTGGACAGCATGGCCAAGGCAATAGAGATGCTGAGTGGGGAGAAGAAAATGTTCTTTTCAGAGTTTTGGGATGCTATCAGGTGGTAGAGGCTGAAGGCAAAGTTGGCATTGCTAGAGGCAATCTGGTAGCTGGAGACGTTCAACTGTGAGAATTCTCTGTTGGTTTGGTTGGCTGTGTTGTCGATCTCTTGGACTGCCTGGCTGTGAGACAGCATCAGGTGTCCAGCCAGAAGAAGGAGCAGGCAGTGAGTGCAATGCATGCTGGATCTTCCAGGTCTGCAGAGAAAATGATACCCCGTCCCCAAGGATATTCCAGCAACAGACAGGAGCCCTGCTTAGCTGACATTAGCAGGCATGGACACAGAGGTGGGGAGATTCCATCACTAGGTAGGGAGTTTTAGGGGCTAACACCTATGCTGTTTTGGGATGGCCCTGTAAGTGACATTACATTGCATTACATGTAAATGTAAATATCATTTTAATTGCTGTGTTCCTTTGCTCATTTCAGGTGAGGTTCTTCTTAGAAAACCATCAAGGAACTAACTGGTTTTAGGTAGTTGGAGCTCTCCATTCCCTCTTCTACTGACCTAGAAATAACCTCACACTAGAGATAAATTCTGTGATTTTCCAAATCAAAATCCAAAGATGTTCCTGTGAGGCATCTTTGAACACAGAACATACGATCCCTTCTACATGTGATAACAGGTCTTTCCAATGAGAAGATGTCTATGTCTCCAATGTGTTTAGGAGTTAGCCCCAGCACTCTCATTATTGTCTGATAAAGGCCCTCTGCTCTCCTCTTTCTCCATGTTTATTGGCTTTCCACACACTCGGAATAGAGGCTTGTGCTCGGTTCTGTCACCGGAAGGAAGTGAATGCCGGTACCCTCCAGGCAGGTGGTAACATTGCTTCAGATTCAGGAAGCATATGCCTATGCCCCCACCTCTGTGAACTTGCCCAGCTTGCAAAGGTCCAGCCAGAGCTAGACTTCCTCTGCCTGGCACCCTCTGTTCTATTCTTTCCCCGTGACTTTATCTTAGTCACTCAGGGAAAGGACAACGAAGGTGTGAACACCACCTTGGCCACCCTCCCTGTGCCGCCCGGTCCACAGGCCACTCTCCTTCACTTTCTTGTGCTTCTCTCCCAGGTGGAAACAGGAAGGGCTGTCTTCCTCTCACTGCCCCATCCGGAAGAAGAAAGTGATGTCAGTGAAGGACTCCAATGGTGAGACCGATTCCCTTCTCACAATGGACTTGACTTGTCAGGGACAGGCTATTCATGTTTTACTCTGAATCTACCCTTGTTCCATCCAATGGTCCTACTACTGTTAGGTTCTTGGCCAAAAGTCCTGTGAGCACTCTGCTCATCTGTCTGGCCTTCTATGCCTCTCCCCACTTCCCATGGCATATCCTGGGAGTTTCTCTTTGGACCATGCATCCCCTACACACAAGGATCCTTGTCTTCTCTCTCTCTCTCTCTCTCTCTCTCTCTCTCTCTCTCTCTCTCTCTAGGGTTGAGAAACTTCCCACAAAGTGCCAGATAGTGTCATCCATGGCTTTGTAAGCCAGTCTCTTTGGCCACAATTTCACTCTGCCCTGGACACTGGGAAGCAACTGTGGACAAGGCAAGCATTTTTTGACAAAACTATGCATGGACTCTTCCATCTGGAATTCAAATAATTATCGTGAAACATTATCTACCTATTTTTATTCTCTTTTCTTGTGCCAGGAATTGATTTCTGGGCCTCATGTACATTAGGCAAATATACCATTGAGTTTTAACTCTGGTATCCCCAGCCATTTTTCACCTTTAAGAAAAGATTTATTTATTTTTATTTATGTATATGTGTGTGTGTCTATATGAGCATATGTGCACTTAGGAGACAAAAGGCTTTTGGATCACCTGGAACTACATTTACAGATGGGCTATTGGATGTAGGTGCTGGGAACAGAACCCAGGTCCCATGTAAGAGCAGTGATTTAGCTTGACTATTGAGCCACCCCTCCAGGCTTCTTTTGGACATTTGTTAGTATGGCGTGAGAATATGGGTGACAGGTATAGTCAAAGGCCCATCTGGCTCCTACTTTTTGTTTTGAGATACCATCTCAATACGTTGTCCAGGGCAGGCTTGAACTCTCTAACACTGGAAGGCATTAAAGATAGCATCCTGCTTTAATTTCCTGAGTAGCAGGGATTACAGTCTTGGGTCACCACAGTCAACAACAGAGTTCAATGGTAATTCTTACATTTATATTTAACTTTTGTTTTCAAATTAGAACTTCTGTATTAGAACCTCTACATCTTGCATTCCTCACTGACCTTGGACGACGCAGCCGCAACAGTTGCTTTCTCTGCCTGGCTTTTCATCATGGGAGGGAGGATTCAATCACACATCTGGCTTCCTGGACTCTCCCTTCCCTACATAGCTTCCAAAGCCCAGCCCCAGGACTGTGTACTTTTCTATGGCTTTAAGTGAATTACCCAGAATGCCTTATGGTATGTCAACAGCACCTACCCTAGGAGCTTTGGAAAACCAAGATTTGGCTGAACTAGTTGTATGGAATCAGGGCTTGAGTGCCAGCAACCTAGAAGAGGAGCAGGGTCACTTAACACAGGTACACCAGAGGTTCTATCTAGTCTCGGCATCGCTAACATGTAGGGAGGGTGACTAGCTATCCAGTTGGTCCCAGAGTCCCCTGGCTTTAGCTCTAAAGTCCAGTGACCTAGGAAGAGCTTTTGGTCTTGGGCAAACCAGGATGGCAAGTCTCCCTCTTTTGACATTGTTCCCCTTATCCCTGGGTTACTCACGACACAGTCCGTCCTGGAGTGGCCCTGGGTGGCTATCTGAGCTGCAGAGTGGCTTATGGCGCTCAGGGAAATAAAGTCCTCTGCCCCCTACTTGCTGCCTCCAGATCAACTAATGATTAACAAACAGGGCGATGGGTACAGCCCAGATTCCTCCCCCAGGACAACACCCCTCAAACCTCCAAAGGGAATCTGGGATGGTTTGCCTCTTTGTGTTTTTGCAAATGTGAGGTTTTCCCAGGGAAGACCTTGAGACAATCCTCTCCTCACCTGGCCTCCCACGTGCTTCGTGAATATAAACTGACATTTTTCTGGGCTCCATCGGTGCCCTCATGAGCCAAGTAAGAAAGTTCTCGGTGTCGCTGTGAGGAATGGCTGGCATGTGTCACTGGAGAGAACTAGTTCTCATAGGCCATTCGCCATCAAATGAGGGCGAGACTGCCCAGGGCCTCCAGGTTCTAGCCCTAAACTGTAATTTCTGAGACTGGAACCCTTGAGATGTCACATGCGGGACCCTAAGGACAGTACATGTAGTTCAAGAGATGAGACTTGCAGTAATGGGGATAGGTCAAGTGCAGCCCTGGGCTAGCAGCTAGGGCCCAGCACACGAACACCAGGACAAGGTGAGAAGTGTGTCTCGTGGATGTTTTACCGTCACTCACTTCTCTACTTTCCCAGAGAGGGCTTTTCTTATCAGACACAAGGGGGCACAAAAACCAAGAAGCTGTCAACTCAGATACCAGTCAAGCCCCCACCCCTTGCCCCAAGACTGGGGCCATGTTTTTCCAGGCACCTGCCACTTCTTTCTCTCTATTGTGAGCACACACTGGCTGCCCTTTGGCCCCTGATGCCTGCCCCTGGCATCGTGCTAGGACAGAGATTAGAGTTTGGAGCAGCTATGAGCCATGGAGGAGTTGCCAATGCGGGCCTGATAACTGTCCAATCAGCTCATAGTAAGCATTGGGGAATTAACAACTCAACCTTAGGGGAGGGGTGACTCTTGCACCCTCAGGTGAGCCTAGACCTTGTCCTGGGTCTTTGAGTGAAAAGGGACCTTTGAGCTATGGGAAGCTCACCTGGCTCTCTGTCCTTCTTAGATTTATCTGTCTGTCTGTCTGTCTGTCTGTCTGTCTGTCTGTCTGTCTTCTATTTATTTATTTTCATGAGCATCTCTTTACTGATTACATTTACTTATATACATATATTAAGTAAGCATCTTTGCTTTCTTTCATTTCTTTTTGTCTTTTTTTCTTTAAATTAGAAACAAGCTTCTTTTACATGTCAATCTCAGTTCCCTCCCCCTTCCCCTCCTCCCCTGCCCCCCACCGACCCCCTATCCCATCCCCTTTCTGCTCCCCAGGGAGGGTGGGACCTTCCATGAGGGATCTTCAAAGTCTGTCATATCATTTGGAGCAGGCCTAACCCTCCCCCATGTGTCTAGGCTGAGAGAGCATCCCTCTGTGTGTCGAGGGCTCCCAAGGTTCATTTGTGTACTAGGGGTAAATACTCATCCACTACCAGGGCACCATTGATTGGTCAGATCTCCAAACTGACTTCCTCCTTCAGGGGAGCTTCCTTCTTAGTTTTAAATTGAATATCTTTGTGTGTGTGTGTGTGTGTGTGTGTGTGTGTGTGTGTGTGTGTGTGTGTGTATGAGAGGCGTCAGAGGATAACTCTGTGGAGTCAGCTGTCTCTCCACCTTTATGAGGGTCTTCAGGTTTGCACAACAAGCACCTTTACCTGCTGAGCCCTCTTACAAGCCCCTTTGCTCTTGTGACGATGGCAGAGCCACATCTAAACAGACACCTCTTTTTACAGAGAGGGATAGAAGTTGCCAAGTCTGGTCACAGAGAGGAGAGAGCCCTGGCCACACCACAGAGGGCCCATCCTTTCCAAGCAGAGCCTTTCCTGAAGAGTCAAGAGAAGAAACCTTTGCAACAGGCTGCCTGCACTCTTGCAGTTGGCACCTGAGAATTCTCAGTACTGGGGGGAGGGGAGGGAATTCTGTATTCTACTTGACAGGAGCAGTGAGTTGAGCAAGCACTGAGCTGAAATCTAATCTAACCCTGCCCCAGGCACACAGCACTGGAGTTAGGTCTTGGGCTCTGGAGCGGGAAGGCTCTATGGAGCAGTTCCTGAGGCAGGAGCTTGGGTCCTTGCAGAGTGGGAACGAACTGCCAAATGTAAAAAGAGCAGAGGGAAGAGATAGCAATGAGAGTTTTATGGCTCTGGTCTTGCTGGTAGTGGCCTCATGCGGCTTCTCTCTTTAAGCACAAGTTCAAGCTGTATAGACAAGTGTAGCCGATGCTCCACACTGAAGGAACAGTGCAGCTTGGACATCTGGAAAGTCAACAGCTAAGACAGCTAGACCAGACATCTGAGGGAGGTTAGAGAGACACCGTCAGGGTTTCACTAGAAGCCACAGCTCCTGTTGTCATGGAAACCTTCTGGGAGA